CTAAGCACTAATTACTTCTACTTGTACTGTACTACTATATTAATAGAATATTCACATTCGTATTGGAGAGTTGGATCTAAATTGAGAAAAGTTATGAGGTATTCATACTCTCTCAGAATTGTATTCTCATGATGGTAAAAGGGAGGATGAGATATTTGGGATAAATGCTAGCATGGTTCAAGGAATTCGGAAGCTTCTGAAGAGGGACTAGGAAGTGGAGCTTGATCACATATACCGAGAAGCCAATTTTACATCTGATTATTTGGCTTCATTGGTGGCCCAAGGTCCTGGAGGTTTACAATGGCTTGAAGTACCGCCTTTGGGAGTTAAACCATGGTTGGAACATTATGTAATAGGGGTTGTATACCCCAGAAATGTAGTGATATAGGCGATAGCTTCCTTTTTTGTAAGAAAAAAAAAGAATTTTACTGACCATAAAAATCTAAACTGTGCTATCATTTTAGAGCGGAAGAATATTAGTATATCTATATATATTGTATCATCCTAACAATTTGTCCTACTCTGAGTTATCACTTTATTTCATGAAACATTTATTGTCCATCTCAGTTGTTTGTTTTCACAAAATTTTTTTTACTCAGTCCATCGAACAGATTTAACACTTAGTATATATATTTCATCTTCCTAACAATTTGTCCTAATCCGAGTTATCACCTTTTTTTTTGGATAAACATAGGTGTTTTCGGCCTTCTGTTGCTTGAATATGTTATTTCTTTCCAAACAATAATCATTTTTGTCATAAGAAAAAATATATCTTAAAAATAACATCAATTTCTTGGCATATCGAGTAAGTTAACCACTCGAATTAATTTCTTTTACTTGGAAACCTATCAAAGAGAAACAAGAAAATGATTAAAGATTTTATTAAAGATTAAAGATTTAATTTCTCTTATTAGATGAACTTATTTATTAAAGATTTAAAGTAAAGATCTTGTGGAAAAGCAACTTTTTGCAATTTGGGATTTCGGAGATTACGAACTCCATTATTTTGCTCATATTTTGCAAGTCCCGTTTTCCACATTTTCATTTTGGTCCAGTGAAAACCTTTAGCAATACACACTTTCGTTAAATTGCTAGAAATAGCCCGGCATGAAGAACAAAAAGTTACATAACCCGTTTTTTCCCCCATCACATCGAAGTACGACTACCTCAATAAAGTTTATGTTTTTGGCAAAAAAAGGTTTTCAATGTTTATTTCCGGTTCATTGTTCATTTCCATCATGAAAATTTTTAGCATATTTATATTTCACTAATTTGGTTCCAGATCTCATTTGGGTGTTGTTAAAAACTTGTGGCAATAAAGCTTTCGTTCGTTTTTTATTTGTTTATTTATAAAGTGTAAATTTAAATTAAACATAAATACAAAAAGAAGGATTATGCTACTGCATGCACGAGATAAGACATACTCCCTCCATCTCATAATTGTTGTCCACTTTGTCAAAAAATTTTGTCCCAAAATTATTGTCCAATTTGACTTTTTATGGATCAAGTTACACATTTGTCCTTAGTAAAAAACATTATCCATAAAATCTTAGTGGTTAAACAATTACTTATCTGGGGGTATATCCGGTTGTTTAAGGTAAAATATAGTTAAGTTTGACCAAAAATAAAATCTTTCATTTTAGTAAAATTGGACAATAATTATGGGACGGAGGGAGTATGACATAAGATAAGATATATTATATATATATATATATATCGATCGTGCCTATTAATTTCCAAAGTATTGAAGTAGCGTAGCACAATGGAACCTACGCCTACCTAACTAACCGCAAAGACCATGGCAAGAGATTGAATATTGGAATTTTCGAAAGCTACACAAATATGAGGAGTTAAAAATAGGCGGTGTCGGTCGGTGTTTTCCATCTCTAAGTATTCAATAAATGAAACCAAAGGAATTATGTTATCTAATGTAAAATATATGTCACATTATCTTGTAGTGTATTACCCAAAATAAAATGCAAAATCCTAATATATATTGTTTATTTACAGAAGCTTTCGCAATTAGCATGACTAGTAGTAATGTTATCCTACAAAATTGTTCATTGACAAATTACCGAAAATGCACAGTATAGGGCTTCTCTTAGCCTGAGCTATTTATCATCCACATCAAGGGGGAATCTCAGCTTTAGATCAGCGGTTTACACCATATATACATAGTAGATAGGTTTTTGATATCTAAATATCTTGCCCCATATTGGTGGTTAGCTTATTTTGGCATGTGTACTCTTTCATGTACACATCATATAGGCCTTGGTTCCTAAAGAGAAATAAAAAATGAATCATCGAACATGTAATTTCTTAATGAGCTTTTTGAAGATTTCTTTTCTTTGTTTTTTTTTTTTTGAAGATTTCGTGAATCCATTGAAAATTTATACTGCTAGAAAATTGAAAGCCATTACATGTCATGCAAAGTCACAAAATTAAAAGGGCAATAAATTGGAAAAAGGAGGGACTTCATCACTTTTTTTTCGGGGGGCCCAGTCTAAAATTATCGAGGATTGACATATATGAAGAATGAAGAGTTATTATAATTAGCTACAAATTAGCTAGATTGAGCTATGTGGAAATTTGTTTAGAAAAATCAAAGGGCAATTCTAATTTGTAAACACAGACAGGACAAGATCAGAAAAATTGAGTCTCTTTAAAAACTTTCTGTTCCTCGTTAATGTTACCCCCAGAGTTTTTTTTTTTTTTTTTTACTTAGCCAATTTTGTCTGCATAGTATGAAACTTTTACCACTAATGCAATTTTCATCCAACTTAACGGATTTTTGTAAGATTTTATACTTTTTATGTCCCAAAATTATTGTTCAATTTGAGATTTTAATTATAATATAATTTAAAATAAAAGTAAAAATCAAAACTTGATAATAATTTCGGAATAGATAGAGTATAAAATAATAAAATTAATCACAAAACCTTGCCACTAGTTTCATAAAATTATAAAAAAATACCCTCAAAACTATGTAAAAAGAACGAAAAAGTCCCTTGATATTTATTTTTTCTATTTCATTCTATTTTTCTTTAGTACTTTTCATAACCATAACAATATACTATATGATCTTTAAAGACATATTTTTTTAATTTCAAGCTCTATTATACAAATTAATCTTTACATATTAGTAACTGGTGATTATAATGTATAAATATTTTAACATTTTTTTATAATATAGTTTAGCCGTAAGAATACCCTTTTTTTGATTTTTTTTCCCTTCCTAATTTAAAGAATAAAAAAATTAGTTCAAAATATATTCCACATAAAATATAATATTTAGTTTAGATTACAAAATAATGTATTAATATATTTTAGTGCATTAAAATTTAACTTAAGAATAATTAAAAGCTTCAAAAAAATTCTTTAAATGTATGTTTTATCACGCTATTACCTCCATTCATTTACTTCAGAATGAATTTATATATATATATATATATATATATATATATATCTTAAATCAAACTTATAGCTAGAAGTGAGATGTATTAATATTTCAAACAAATATGACAAGTTAACCTTCACAATGACAAGTATACCATGTTTTACAAAACGTTTTGTACCATTATTTTTGTATGAGTGGTAATACGTTTTTTTAGCAAGTCCGAGTGGCAATACATACATGGAATTTTTATTTTTTATTTTTAAATGATGCATCTAAGATCTGAATTATCCCCCTAACCTTAAATGCTTAAAAGCCAGATAGAAAGTATAAATCCAATTGATGTGATTTGATCCATCTCACTCATTCTCACTTTTCTTGTAATTTATTCCTTGCACATACCATTATTCTTTTTCATATGCCACAACTCTATATCATCTCGTGTTGAGTTAATGTAGAAACGAAACATGTTTTTCACCCGCTGTCTACACTTAGCCTTGGGTCTCATTTATATATGGTAAAGAAAACATCTGCATAATTTTTTTGAAAAAGTAATGACACTAACATACATAAAAGGAACAAATATATTTTAAAAAAATAAAACTAAGCTAAGAGGATGTCTGTGATTTATAAATGATGGGAATAGGTTTTGATTTAGTTGGTGGAAGAAGGTATGAATTTATTCTATTTGATCATTTGCGATCTATGAAGCATTATTCGACAAATAAAGATAAATCACTAAGATATATTAATAAATTATTTTGTACTCCAAATTAAGCATTTTTTATGTGGACGTGTAGCATTAATTTAATGTTATTTTACTTCGATAAGAAAAAGAGGATCATAAAAATGTTATCATTACTACTAAACATATTATAAAAAAATATCTAAGTCGGTTCTAAGAGTGCCAGCTGTGGAATCCGCTCCTGGGTTAGCCATTTTAGGTATTATTTTTCAAGTCCGACGGGATTTTGCTATAGAATATTTTAATAGTATTAAAGGTACATGTATTATGTTGTTAAAGAGCATATATTATGTTGTTATGGTTACAAAAACCAAATAAATGTTCATTAAAGAGCATATATTATTTTTATAATTTCTAAACTTTTAGAGAGTTTTGGGGGTTATTCTTTTGTATTTCATTAAAAAAAAACATAAATTTGTTAATTTAGACAAAAACTGGTGAAATGGATAAAATCAACATAAACTTCATACATACTGAACAAAATTGCCTACATAAAAACTTTAGGGTAGGGTCGCCAATTTTTCCAGACATGATAATCAATTTCAAATTGAAGTATTGAGCTTTTTGAAAGGAATACATTGGAGTTTTAACCTCTGGATCTTCACATCTAGAAGCACTACCTTTAAAATTGACCGATGTAATAGGAAAATGACAACACAAAGAAGAATAAAATGATGGATGAAGAACATTATTCATGATTAAGGTCACGGAGAACATTGTTGAAGGAAATCATTATCTACAAAATTAAAGTTGTAAAAGATTCATAAAATATCAAATTAAACAACATAATTGATCTTTATCGAACATGACCCAAGATACATATATTTTCTTTTTTAGAAAAAACTGAATATTTAAATAAAATTAGGGCTCAACTGCCTGCATCTCAAAGCGGCAAATAGGGCATTTGTTGCTAATGATCAGCCATCTGCAGATACACTCGGTATGGAATATATGGTCGCATGGCATCCTAATGGCAGCCGTCCCAATAGCAAATACTTCGAGACAAATTACACAAGGCTGAAACTCATTTTCTTCAAGAATATTGATTGTATCATTCCTTACTAAATCCTCTATAGCTTCCCGAGTAGCTGGCCTAACTCCAACTGGATTCACATCATCAAATGAGAGATTAGCCATCTCAGATAACATAATTTCATCCTCAAATGAACTGTCTTCGTCGAACCCTTGACCAAATATCTCACTGGTAACATCAACATTTGTCCATTTGCTAATCTCTACGTGAATCGACATCAAGGATGGGGCTCGATAATGCGGCTGGCTCGCCAAGTTTAGAGCAAATTCTTTGATCTGCGGGAACATCTCTTGCGCGGCCTCTAATGGAACATTGAGGTGGTGGAGCATGAGGAAAGCCCCTTCCAAATCCGAGTCCGGTGAAAAAATATGACTATTCCGGGGAAAGTAAATCAGTGCCCTTTTGATTGGTCTTGAATCCGTGGTGATGTTATAGGATATCCACTGATTACGAGTAGCAGAAAAATAGAAATTCTCATACTTTTTCCTAACTATGAAGAAAAAAAGGAACCCATCAACTGGTGCGTTTGGGTAGAAGCTCATATCGGCTGCCTCACTAACAAAGCATGTGTATTGGGCTCCAGCCATTCAAAGTACACCTAACAAAGAAAGTAAAGATAAAATATAACGTGCAATTGACTAAGAGGAATTAAAAATGAAAACCTGATAAAATGAAGTAATGAAAAACAATGTTTTTAAAATCGGACCAGAAGGCAAACTGCAACCAAACTGGATCAGTGTATTGGCCAGTTTTATCAGTCCAATCGGTCCTCAAAACAACTAAAACCTGGTTAAAAAATTTGAAAATATATTCGTCGGATCCATGTTCAAGGTTAAACAACTTTTTTTTTTTACAGGATTTAATTATTTTTAGTAAAATTGGGTAGTAATGCGAAACCAAATTTCATAAATTGACACCAGATTCTCTAAGTATATCTTTCCCACAATTTTTATTGGGCATCCTTAGCTTAAGGATAATGATAGCTAAGACAACTATGGCATTTGATACACAGAAGAATTTAAAGAAAAATCCCATGTATATTGGAATTTAGTTTTGTAGGCCAAGGAATTATTATCATTACTTGAAATAAATGTCTATGATATATGCATAGATTTGTTACAAATATTTGGATTATCCAAATCCATTTATGTTTTTGAAATTGACTTGTATATTTTACCGTACATGATTTTTTTCCCTTTTCCGTTTTGGTACCTAATTCTATTATGACACTATAATTCTTAAAATGTATGACTAAAAAGTTTCAAAAATCATAATACATGAGTGAGATTATGGAGTATGACATGAGAACGAAAAGTTAAAACTGTTCCGTAAGATCCACTCCCTCGAGTCCTAATTATAATACAAATTTGAACAAATTTTAAGGTTAATTTGTTCTTTACAGTAAGCACCCCATTGGAGTATTAATTAATAGTTTAAAATGTAATTATTTACTTATAGTTCTGCAATCAGTTTTTGGTATACCGTTTCTTTATTGATCATTCCAAAAGTACCATTTCTTAAAACAATATATTAGGATTAAGTATTATCGTGGGTACAACAAATAGAGAACCTGATCGGGACTATAGTTATGCAAATTATTCATCTTTGTGCATTGATTGCCAAAAAACTTAATTAACTTAATTGAACTAAGATATACAAATATTTTAGGGTTTTAGAATAGTTTATGTTACGTATCTACTCTTCAAATGGGGAAAAAAAAAATTTAACTGATAACTATAAAATCTGTTTAAAACTCGCTTTAAATGATAATGCAGTTCTTTGGTAGTGGCCAAAAAAGGGCATCTCAAGAGTTTGGAAGTTCTTATCTACTTAATTCATAGGACGACAAATGAAGATATTGCCGTCTAAAGAAAAGATGTTTGTTGTTAACTTTTTTTTTTGAAGAGGGTTGAGAATTAAGGTTTTTTAGATAGAAAAGTTTCAATTGAGCACATTACATATAAGAATGTGTCTGCCTCCCTCTCCCCCTCTCCCACCCCAACACCCCCCACCAAAACACACCCCCCCCCCCTCACAAGAGATAAATTGGGAAATTAGAATGGATTTATGTAAATACTAGAAATCTGCAACATTTTCAAACAAGGTAGTTAGGAGTTACCCCAATAAATATAGTATCAATCTAAGTCAGATATAGGAATGTGGATGCGACTGATACATATCTCAAAGATAGATCTCTAAACCTCTATATTTTTTTCTAAGATAAGGGTTCTTAGTTCAATTTATCTAGCAATCTCAAAGTTCACGACTCCAATTTAAGTGCACCAATAATCACTGACAGGTATATGCATGAATAACAACAAAACATAATCTAATCTACACATCAATCAACATTTTAATACATAGACATTTGAGTGAGACTTACCTGAGCTCTTTAGATAAATGCCAGTCTTGGAACAATTTTGGGCTAACGATCTTCACAAGAGTTCAAAATGGTCTTCTCAACTGAAGAACAAGACTTCTTTAAGTATTTATAGCATAACGGACCTTTGGATCAGCTTGATTAGACTTATACCTGTATATAAAAGTAGAATAAGTGCATTTTTAAAGCTATCTTTAAAAATTCGAGTGTAAATCTGATTTGGTCTTTACAAGAAAAATTAAAATTCATACATTACCTAAGATGACACTAGACCCTCAAATATACAGATTTGACCACATTATATATATCATTTATAGGTAAACCATCAACAAAGATGAGACGAAGAGGCAGTAAGAGATCAAAATTGGAAAAAAAAACTTAAATGGCTTTACCAATGCAATTAAAAAACAAAAATCTACCTCAAATATGGTTCAATTCATTTGGATGATGGCCAAACAAAAATTACTTGTTTATAGGCTGGAAATGGTAGTTTCTTCCAATGGATTATTTGCGTGTTGACTAGTACAAGCAAAAATGGATAAAACTCAGAAAATTTAATGTGGTTTCCGTATGAATATCATTTTAATATCGTTGCATTGTTAGAAGTTTGGTTGGGAGTTAAAAGTAAAACATTCAATAAATTATAATGTTAATAAAAGAATCAATCCCAAATTGGTGACGAAACTTCCAAGGCAGGTGTTGAAACACAGTACTTGGAAAGGAAAAATGGCAAGACTAGATAAGCTACATCGTGATTTTTTGAATGAAGATGGTGTTTTTCCTTACGAGAATTAGATTACAAGGTTGACTGCCATTAATGTTGTTGATGGACCTTACAACGAGCAATAATTGCTGTTGTTATGGTCAAACGAGTTGCTGATGATACAAACTGAAATTTGGAAAATTTTGCAACCATGGATTTAACTAATGAAGGATCAAAATCTGATTGTGAAATATTACATAATACTATATATACATGTCTCAAGAAAGGTTAACCAAGAAATAATAATAATATCGTCAAAAATGTACTTGGTTATACTAAAATTTAATCCCATCATGAAAAACAGATAAAGTTCTTGTGAACAATGATAGTGAAATATCGGGCAGAAAAGTGCACCTCCCATGACTGAATAAAGTCTGTTCAATAATAGCCTATATATAGATTCTGTAAAAAAAAAAAAAACTACATTTCATTGTAATCAGTAGATATATTTTAGTTGAAAACATTTGGAATCAAGTACTCATGTTGCAGATAATATACTAACGGTTGATTGCCTTGTGAAATCTATGGTATTGATTTCTAGACGGGGAAGAATGTTTATTTTGGGGATCATGTGGCTAGTTGGAGAGGCAAAATTATTGTGTTATAGAATATAGGGGGAGATTTACTTACTTGTTGTCATGAACAACTTGTGCTAAATCAGTCTATTGGAATTGTCTGCTTCCAAGTTCTTTTAACCTTAATATAGGTGGATCATCAAATACTGAAATTAAATCAAACTCCAGAGCTTTGCTACAAACTATCTGGAGAAGGGAGAACTATCTATGTTGACTTAAATAGGAACTGGCCCGAATACTTCACTATATGTTCTCCTCAATATGTTCAACATACATACAAAAATAATTAATGCACACTTCACAGTATCGATTACGCCTTGAATGTTGAAGAGATTGACTGAATTGGATTATCACAAACCATACGACATTTTTTAATTTTTCTGACATAACAATTTTTTGGGGTAAAGTGTAAAATCTTGTTCGTCTCACACCATGAAACTTATTACATACTGTTACGTCCGATTTAAGTTGAGATAATGTATCCCAATTTGACTTGAGATTAAAACTCCAGAAAGATAAAGGAAAGAAGAGATTCAATAAACTAAATTAAATTTTCATCTAAAAAAAAATTCATTCCAATGAACCCACCCAGGTGTAACACCATAAAACATATCATCATAACCATTAGGTTGTTAGTCAATTTCCAAAGTCAAAGAGAAAAAACAAATAGATACAATACATATATGTTGAAGACTCAATAGAAATATTACTCCTATGAAAACTACCCGCTACACCAATACATAACCACCAACAAAACGTGATTAATTAGTAACTAACTTATTTAGACAAAGTGAAAGATAATTATGGCGTTCAAAACATCATTAAACTATATGCTACCGCTGGCGTAAATGGAGACCTTCTCCTCAAGGTCAGACATTAAATACAACATGAATGATGGACACGTAAATACAGACAGACCACTGAATCTGAACCCTGAATTGCTTCTTCCAAAGTATTAGTTGAATTATTCTATGAAATCTTCCATTCTTTCACTAGCGCAATATAATTTGATTTCTCCAAATGATGGTTATCGAAACTACCAAAACAATACCAACTTAAAACTGTAGATATTTGCAAGTTAGGTATCCTACAGAATGGGTGAAACTCTAATAACCCTGAATGATTCAACTAAAAACAACAAACTAAACAAAAAAAAAAGAAAAACAAATGACTTTTGTAAGTGTCAAATATGACTTGACCAATTGAACTGGAACCTAGGGTCCTCCTCTCTGCTCTACATAGTTATATAATGAACGATTTCGCACTCTTTGTGGTATGAACTCATGTTTAATCAGACTCTAATTTACATCAAGTTCACTTCTGATTGTTCCAGGATGCGTCTTGGCAAGATTAATCACACTATCTTCTGATGAATGCTCAAGTTGCAAAACCATTAACATCTTAGGACTTCTATGATCACCAATGCCAATACAGTATGTTCATCTTAAGTGAAACCTTGGACTGTTATGTCCGTGTCATGAACTAATATTAAATGTTCTAAGTCATGCTTATCTTTCAAAGATTCACACAACATGCAAATACAAATGACTAGTTGTTAAAGCTAATCAAAAGGTTAATTAAAGCTTTAGTATTAGAAACAAAAAATCAATTGACTATTAATTCATAAACAACACTACATAGATTCGAGGAATTAGACCCCACAAAGGAGTTTAACTACTTATAAGTATAAGCATAAAAGGATGCATAAAAAAGTATTAAAAATTAATACAAAGCAAGAAACAGCTAGAGATAGAAGGAACTTAGGAAATTTCTGTTACACCCAGGTGACTTCGTCCAGTCATCCTATGACTTCCCTAGTGGGCAGAGCCTACTCCCCCTGGAGGCTTTGCATTCTATACATTATGTTGTGTAAAAGCCAACTCTCTAGTCTAGTATATCTGTAGATTATGTTATTCTCTTCGTTATAGAAGAGTTGCCTTTTCACCTTTTTCTTCATGATCTTGCTTAGCCTAGAAGTTAAGACTAACTTTGCTTAGTATTTGCACACTTTTTATGCCCTTTATTGTCCACTTTATTTCCTTCGGCCAAGTTGTCTTGGTTACCTTTTTAGCACTTTTTTAACACAATTGCAACTCAAAGTCAGCACAGTCTGCAGTCCGACCGGGCACATTCCATTCTTGCACAATTTGGCCCTCATTTTGTATCATTTTGCCACCCTTTATTCCCTTTTGCAATAGAGCCTCTTGACCACCCAAAAATGTAAAATTACAATTAGAAATAAATAAATTATGATTAATTATTATAATTTTTAAGCAAACCATTGGGATTTCAAATGTGCAGTGTTGGGAGGTGTAACAGATAATGAAGTAGTTGGTTGTAAGTGGTGACTCTGGCTCATAAAGGAAGCTGGGAGTTTGCTGTCTTGCACAACACAAAGATTCTTAAGTTTAGCATGTAGGAACAACAAGAAAAGCGTTAAGTAAACATTTCATGTATTCACTCTCGTTGGGCTATCGTTTGTATTTACTTGAGTATGGCATTGATCAACGTAGGAAAAACATGCACATATATCATATTGTACAGTGTGATTATTAAAGATGAAGGAAAAAATAACTGGTTGGAATGATGATAATGCATCTCCTCAAATATTTGTTAATTAGGGTTTACGACAAAAATGTCATTCCTACCTTAAAAGGTCATAGAAATAGGTGATCGGTATCTGATTCAACAACTTCGAGCTCATTTAGAAAATGTTTTGTGGTGACAATGATAGATATCCATTCTTTTAATGTTGCATTAAAAATTAATAACTTATTAGAACTAATTCCCATTTAATTTCTAAAATAAAGTTAAAGTTATCAAAAATTTAAACAATTACTAATTCCCATTTTTTTGATAAATAAACTAATTATCTAATAATAAAATAAAAGTTTATAAGATATTTTGGAATGAATAAATGTATGTAGTTGTGCAGCTTGTAACCTATTCCTTCTTCAAAATTAATGGAGGAAGGATTTCATCAGCAAGTTTGGGCAACCTTGTGCGATGTCGAAAAATCATTGCTTCCATTCTCCTAATCTCATTATTTGACTTTGAGTACAAGCCAATATGCTATTAAGCTAGTGCATCATTATTCTTTTAAAGAAAATAATTAATCGCCCCGGTAAATGGATGAATCTAGACAAACCATCATCATGAATATGGTTAATGTCCTGATTCAAACATTCATTTGGGATCTTTTTTTAGATATTTCACTCCTACAACATTCTATTTTAGATAAATATAATGTACAAGACTATGTTCCTGAGATAGAAAAAGGATAAAACAAAACAAAACGAATGTCTAGAAACCTTAATTCTTTTCACGTGTGGACTGCATACTGTAAAACCTTGGAAGAAATATAATTAGTGGGTTCATCATTTTTTCGTAATTTTCAATGTTTTTTTTTAAAAAACTAAGTAATAAATAATATTTAGTTTAAGTATTTCAGTTCAACAAGAAGTTGCAAAAGTTTTGCCTCACCTCAGCAGGATCATTGACCATCAACATGAATTGACGAACCCGTATAAAAGCTTATCAGGTCATATACAATGGATAATTTCAATTCAACCTGTATAAAAGCTTATCAGGTCATATACAATGGATGATTTCAATTCATATCACTGATTGAAGTGGGAATTTGACCATACTGAAGTTATAACAGAGTGAGAGTAGGCAAAGTAATGGTGAGGCGACCGGGGGTGTTATGATTTGGTGTCGAAGAGGAATAGTCTCATCCAGATTCCATAAAAAAAAATAGTTCCTCCTCACTCTCTTAATGGCAAGACACGAGGACAAAGAAGAGAGGAAGACGTGGTATCTTGACTCCGCTGCGAGTAACCACATGACTGGGGAAAAAAGGTTGTTCGTAGACATGGAACCAGCCAAAGGGTACGTGATGTTTGGAGATGATTCTAGAGCAAGGGTTGAAGGCAAAGGTGAGATACTAATCCTTGCTAAAGATGGAAGTCACCAATACATCTCAGAAGTTTATTATGTTCCAAGTCTTAAGAGTAATATCTTGAGCTTGGGACAACTTATGGAGAAAAATTACGATATTCATTTGAAAGATCGTAGTGCCATAGTTAAGGATCCAGAAGAAAAATTGATTACCATTGTGCCAATGACAAGCAATAGAATGTTCTTGTTGAACATTCAACATGAGAACTGCATGAAAGCATGCTTGAAGGATGATTCGTGGATTTGGCACATGAGGTATGGTCATTTAAATTTTGGTGACTTGAAAATGTTATCTGCCAAATGCATGGTGAAAGGAATACCTCCTATCAATCAGCCCAATCAAGTATGTGAAGGATGCTTACTTGGGAAGCATTCGAGGAGTGCTTTTCCAAAAGAAGCAACATCAAGAGCTCAGGAGCCTTTGGAACTCATCCATACAGATTTGTGTGGACCCATCTCTCCGCCATCCCATGGTAAGAACAACTACTTCATCCTTTTTATTGATGATTTCTCTCGAAAGACTTGGGTGTATTTCTTGAAGGAGAAATCACAAGCCTTTGATACTTTTAAGACATTTAAGACTGTGGTGGAGAAGGAGAAAGGCTTGAAAATCAAAGCCTTAAGGTCTGGTAGAGGTGGAGAATTCACATCAAGTGAATTCACAAAAATTTGTGAAGAACATGGAATTTGGCGTTTCCTTACAGCTCCTTACTCCCCACAACAAAATGGAGTTGCGGAATGGAAGAATAGAACCATTCTCAATATGGTTCGTAGCATGCTAAAGAGCAAAAAGATGCCAAAGGTTCTGGGCTAAAGCAGTTGATTGTGCAGTATACCTACTAAATCGATGTCCAACGAAGAGTCTAGCTTACAAGACTCCACAAGAAGCATGGAATGGGGCAAAGCCCACAGTGAATCACCTACGAGTATTTGGGAGTATAGCATATGCCCACGTACCAAGCCAAAAGCGGTCTAAACTTGATGATCGAAGCGAGAAGCATGTCTTTGTTGGCTACGACAAACAGTCAAAAGGCTATAAGCTCTACAATCCAATCACGAACAAAGCTATTGTGAGTAGAGATGTAGAGTTTGATGAAGAAGGAACCTGGGATTAGAATATTGAAGGTGGTGAAAGCTACGACTTCCTTCCTGTCATCCACAAATACGATGATGAAACTAGTGATGCGGGTGAAAATACTCAGCGACCTCAAAGTCCACGTTCCCCTTTGAATGAAGAGTCACAAAGGACGAGAAGCCTACAAGAGATCTATGAGGAAACAGAACGCATAGAGGCTCTCACACTCTTCTGCCTTTATGCTGATTGTGAACCTCTAAGTTACGAAGAGGCAGCAAGGAACGAGAAGTGGAGACACGCTATGGATGAGGAAATAAGATCCATAGAAAAGAATCAAACTTGGGAGCTAGCCTCTCTTCCAAAAGGCCACAAAACAATTGGAGTAAAGTGGGTGTTCAAAGCAAAGAAGAACGCTAAAGGAGAAGTTGAGAAGTACAAAGCAAGACTTGTCACCAAAGGCTACAAGCAGAGGTGTGGCGTTGACTACGAAGAGGTATTTGCTCCTGTTGCTCGATTGGAGACTATCAGGTTAGTAATTTCTATCGCTGCCCAAAATAGATGGAAAATCCATCAAATGGACATAAAGTCTGCATTCTTAAACTGCTTTCTTGAAGAAGAAATATATGTGGAGCAGGCAGAAGGATATGTGGTCAAAGGCCATGAGAATAAAGTTCTCAGGCTAAGGAAGGCTCTATATGGTTTGAAACAAGCACCAAGATCCTGGAATACAAGAATTGATCACTATTTTTAGGAAAATAGTTTCAAGAAATGTCCAAGTGAACATACACTCTATGTGAAGTTTTCAGGCAATGGAGATATGTTGCTTGTTTGTTTGTACGTGGATGATCTCATCTTCACAGGAAATTCACCTAGCATGATCGAAGATTTCAAGAAGGCAATGACTAAAGAGTCTGAGATTACTGATATAGGACTTATGTCCTATTATCTTGGCATCGAGGTCAAGCAATTGGATGATGGAATCTTCATCTCTCAACGAAGATACGCTAAGGAAGTTCTTAAGAAATTTGGCATGGAGAAGTGCAAGCCAAAAGCCACCCCCATTGAATATGGAGCAAAGCTCTCAAAAGATGATGAAGGAGGTGTTGTAGATCCAACTCACTTCAAGAGCCTTGCTGGAAGCCTACGTTATTTAACATGCACAAGGCCTGATATCCTCTTGGCTGTGGGACTTATCAGTTGATTTATGGAAGCACCTACTACGACACACTTGAAGGCTGCCAAGAGGATACTTCGCTACATCAAAGGTACTATTGATCTTGGCTTGTTATATTTCTCATGTGATGACTTCAAGCTTGTGGGATTTGTCTGGAGACATAAGCGAACGGAAAAGTACTACTGGATTCACATTCTTCCTTGGCAACACTGCCTTTACATGGGTTTCTAAGAAACAACCTACAGTCACCTTGTCATCATGCAAGGCCAAGTACGTAGCAGCAGTATCATGTGTATGTCATGCAATCTAGCTTAGGAGCATGTTGAAGGAGTTAAGTATGCCACAAGGAGAAGCGACAGAGATATATGTCGACAACAAGTCAGCCATCGATCTGGCAAAGAATCCAGTCTACCAAGATCGAAGCAAGCATATTGATACAAGGTACCACTTCATAAGGGAATGTGTGGCCAAGAGGATCGTTGAGTTGAAGCATACAAGATCACGTGATCAAGTTGCAAATATTTTCACCAAACCACTCAAAGGAGAAGACTTTACAAGATTGAGGATAATGCTTGGAGTCACCGAACCAATTTAAAGGGGGGTGTTAGTGAATAAACTGGTTTGGTCCAAATATATTGGGTCATCCAATTTAAATAGTTAGATCATTAGTCTTTTGTTTAAAATTGAGCCCAAATCCAATATGAAGAATAGACTAGAAAGAGATGATGAAATTAGTAGAAACTTCTACTAAAATATCTAGATATTGTAGAATAATCAATAGAAATATCTAGAGAAAATATCTACATACTAGTAAGGAAATTTCTAGATATTATGTGTAGGAAGAAAATCTTGAAGGTATGTAGAATCTTCCATGAACTCCTATAAATAGGAGTTAACCCCCTTATGTAAGGTGTGTAGAGAAGTTGTATGAATTATTAAGCTAAAAGTTTAATACAATCCTTTCTACTTTGTTCCTTTTACTACAAAGTAGTGAACCTCCCTTTCTCCGAAAATTACCTTCTCTTTCATTTCCACTTTCTAAACCTATAACCTAAAAGGTCTCTTCCTCATAACCCAACGGGTTCTTTTGCTAACAACCTTCACGACAACCACGGCTTGGCAACCTTCCAGCAGATGATCTTCTTCAGCGGTGACCGGCTCAATTCCAGTGACCTGTGCAACTTCAGGGATAACCTGCACAACCGGGTTTGCAACAGGATTGACCGGCGCAACATCAGTTAAGGGCGGATTTTCCTCCAGAATTTGAGTTTCTGAAGGTTTTTCACCCGTTTTCAGCGCTGAGTTGTGCAAATCTTGCTCTGATGGTTGTTTATCGTTTGATTGATGTTTTGGTAGTTGAAGCCTTTGCGTAGATGAAGCTTTTGAATTGTGATAACAGGAATGAAAATCGTGTCCAATCTTCTTGCATTGAACATAAAACAGTGGCATATCTCCCCAGTGAAGGCTGCTGATCAACAAGTCTCACAGTCGATCGCAGAATCATCCGCGGCTAGCAAGGGTGAGGAATCATCGCCGATGGCTTCAATTGCGGAGCATTAACTCGAGTGAGCCAAACCCTCGCTGTGCATCAAATTGATGCTGCCGGCGCTGATCTGCAGGCATCCGCTGCTACCGATGCAATGGAGAAAAACAATTATCGTTTCCACCAGCAACGGAGAAACGAATTTATCACTGGAAGCTATGGAAATCCAGCACAATTCAATGAAATGAAATCTCCTCCGACTTCGCAGCCTCCGTTAGAGCAACAAAGTCTCGTAATCTCAGCCTATTTGCCGCAGTCAACACCTAATCTACGGGATCCCTCAATTTCAAAAGAAGATCGGATGGAGTCAGTCAATGAGCCGCAGTCAAATGAAGAAAAATTTAGGAAAACCCCAACTCCAAAAAAAAATTTCTTTCCCCATCTTCTCATCATGGGAGGATGGGGAATTAAACTTGTTTAGTCGTTTTTCATTTTGTTCTTTATCGTTTAATAAGTGAGGTTATTTTCACAAATTAGTTCCTTCAATAGGTTATTTAGATAATCTTTTGAGAGGGTAGGGTTTTCTTGTTCGCAGTGTTTTTTTAGTAGGTTGCTCTACTGAGAGTTAGGTCTGTTTTGCAGTGTTCATAGCGGCGTTGAAGATGTTAACAACGTTACGTATGCCCCATGAAGAATCAGTCACCGCAGATCTAATATTTAGATATGTGGTTTGGAGTTTTCAACAGAATTTTAGAGATATATTTGAGATCAGATTCAAACTCTGGTATGTGATATGTCCGTCAATTATATGGGTAGATCTGTATAGGTTTATCCACAGTAAACACAATAAAGTGATACATTGTAAGTTGTGTTTGACTGTTTCTTTGTATCAATCAATCGCAGCTGGACGATTTCCAGTAAATGAATGAAAGTACTATTTTATTTCAAAAAAAAAAATGAAGAAAAATTCAGAAACTACTCATTCCAGAATTTTACTCATCTTCATGTCCAATCCACTTGGTGGATGATTCATTACCTTCTTCTTCCAAAGCACATCAATAGCTCACTTCCTTATTCACCTCACCCTCACTTTTCATTTGCTTAAAACAAGTTCATTCTTATCTTCTCCATTTCTATTCACTGAATTTTATTCGCCTCTTCACTCTAAAGTTGCAGCTATTAAAAAAAAGAAAAAAGAAAAAGAAATACGAACCAGAGGAGTTAAGGTTCTAGTAAGTTTAACATCCCATCTGTTCTATTTTAAAGTCTCGTAACATATGAGTGCTTAGAAGCTGCAGCTGCTTCATTGTAATTTTTTATTAGAATTTTTTGTTTAAATAAAAAGAAAGGAGAAGTATAGTAAAAAAGTTGTTTCATAGTAAAATAATTAAATAGTAAAAAGTTAATAAGTAGTAAGAAAATAATTGGATTTCCTGAAATTAAATGGTAAAAAAGTTACTAATTAATAAAATAAAGAATTAATTTTAAGGGCATTTACAATTGTCACAATAAATCACTACCCTTATGGTGACATGAGTATATACCACACAAGTGGTCAATGCCTTTAAAAGTTTTATGTCACTGTACTATACTTATAAAGACACTATATGTTGCCTACATATGCCCTTTTTCTTGTAGTGTCCTCCGACTTCGCGGCCTCTGTTAGAGCAACAAAGTCCCGTAATCTCAGCCTATTTTGCGCAGTCAACACCTAATCTACGGGATCCCTCAATTTCAAAAGAAGATAGGATGGAGTCAAATGAAGAAAAATTCTGAAACTTCTCATTCCAGAATTTTACTCATCTTCATCTCCAATCCACTTGGTGGATGATTCATTACCTTCTTCTTGCAAAGCACAGCAATAGCTCACTTCCTTATTCACCTCACCCTCACTTTTCTTTTGCTTAAAACAAGTTCATTCATATCTTCTCCATTTCTATTCACTGAATTTTATTCGCTTCTTCACTCTAAAGTTGCAGCTATTAACAAAAAGAAAAAGAAAAAGAAATACGAACCAGAGGAGTTAAGGTTCTAGTAAGTTTAACATCCCATTTGTTCTATTTTAGAGTCCCGTAACATATGAGTGCTTAGAAGCTGCAGCTGCTTCATTGTAATTTTTTGCGCAGTCAACACCTAATCTACGGGATCCCTCAATTTCAAAAGAAGATAGGATGGAGTCATCAATGAGCCGCAGACTACTCCTTCAAATAAGGAAGGAATAATCCTCCTCAAATATCTCTGTTAATAGCTCCACTCAAAAATTAAATCCTGGTGCTCTAGAATTTACTTATTCCCCTCAGCCAGAAATTCCACTTTTACAAGTTTTACTACCTCTTTCAGACCCACAACATTACTTATCCAAAGATGATCGACTTTGGGAAAAATACTGAGCGTTTTAACCCAAATTAGTCAGATTGAAGAAATACATTTTGAAGGTGGACTAAATCAAGCTTTCAATGGTTCTGATGATGAATATTTCCACATGGAATATGCAATAGAAAAAGAGTCCTTTTATAGTGATGTTTCTGCTCTAACATATCACAATCATTCGAAAAAAGTCAAGGCTAAAAAGAAAGTTCCAGTTCATTGGTCTGCTAGATTGAACAAGGATTAAACTTTACTTTAAGAAAAATTGTATTTGATATAGGGTTTAGTATATTCGCTGCCCTATTTTTTTTTTTGTTATTAATAATTTTGTTTTTTGTTTTGTTTTTTAAAGAATTGGAGAAAAGTCAAGTCTTACTAGTTTTAGCAAATTTACCGTTTTAGCTTTATATTTCTTCGATTGTGAATCTCTTGAATGATGGGAGCATCATAAGGGATATCAATGTTCATTTTTCTAGCCATCTCAATTAGTGAAGGACATGCTTTTTCAAAACCAATGGGCATATGCTCAAAGCTCTCTTCTTCAAGCTTGTGAAAATTTTCTTTTATGAACGTTATTAATCCTATCATGGCGGCACAAAAAAAGAAAAAGAAAATGCCACATGAACTAAGAAAAACAAAGGGCAATATCCAATACCAGAAAATGCAATGCAAAATTCAAAGGGTACTTTAGACAGAAATTTGATAACATCAGAATGTTAGGTCACATTTTTCATGAGAAGGGTTAAATTTGTAAGTTGAGTCATTGTCAAGGGGTAATTACAGAAGGGTAGTGATACATGCATGGAAAATTTGACAAGAAAATTTACAGTGAATAAGATGGTGAACTCTTATAGATAAACCCTTGTCCCTTAAATAGATAAACCTCTAAAGTGAAGGTATAAGTACAGATGGTTATGAATCGTAATTTATGATTCACAGCCTGTTAAAATTCCCTAAAAAAGTCCCTTGTACGAATGATTAACAAATAACGAGGTATGCAAAAACTTCACTTTTAATCCAAACAATAGTAACAAACAAAAGGAATGATCAATTAGTAAGGCCAAATGCCTTTCTGAATCATATCAGAATGAATGATCAATTAGTGCGATAACACATGCTAAAGTGTTGAGGATCCGGTCATGAGACTCGAAGATTATATTTTTCCGTCACCCCACGATCCGTCGGAGAGCTGATTATTAGCAATCCACTCGAGTGATGCCGGAAACTGAGGACCGGCATCCCCGCCGTTGATGTCTTCCACTAGTGCCACCCACGCGGTGTCGTATGGTGATATGCTTATGATCCATTCTGTTTTTTCTTTTATCCTTCTTTCAACACTCCTCTTCTGAATTTTGGCAAACAACAGCTAAATTAGCTGTAGTTTCATTTCCGACATCCAAAAAAGAAACACAAAATACATCTATTACATAAGAAAAGTGGTTTTTTGCTGGTTAAGTTAAGCTCTTAAGCCGGTAACCTTGAGAGTTTTGTTTTCAGTAGTGCCGGTATTTTCGACGTACTGATCAGGTGAACCGGTAACCGGTATTTTCCACTCCAAAATTCCGGTGTCATTCTGGCACGATACTTCTCTTAATTCTGCATGAAAGATTATCAAATGAATATATAGGTTCAGAAAAACGGGTTTGTCATGCATTTGTGCCTTTTTTTATTTTTGGGCAAAGAAAAAAATAATCACACAGAGGAAATGAACTTTATTACCTATTGTCAATGGAGGATTGGTCACGATGCTGCACTTAACACGAACGTTACAGTCTAGGCTTTGTTCCGTCCCCCATTTACCTGCTATAATCGTCGTTGAAATAAGATTGGACCAGAGCCCTACACAGTTTGAACTTTGAATCCGGTTTACTTGGAGTAATGGTTCGGACGGTTTGTAATATTTTTAAAAAATAGAAATATAATTAATTATTCAATTATCCAATTTGTCATTTTTATTTTTTTAGTGTAAATTGTACTAAAAGTTAAAATCCAGACAGGATGATTATTTCTGGATGGAGGGTGTTCAATCGCTAGACACAACACGGTAAAATTAAAAAATTACGGGAGTGACGCCACAATCCAAAGGCCTATAAGCGGGAGGAGATGAAACAAAGCGGTGGTGGCGACTGGTAGGGGCCGGGAGAAGCAAGGCGGTGGCTGACATGACCGGAATAGGTATTTCTCGAGGTAGCTAGCTGTTTGATAATATGCAGGTGGAGAATACAAAACCAAAAAATTGTTGGAAGGAAAGAGTTGGCTTAAGCCGAAATCAAACTTGCTATAACCTTATAAACAAAATGATAATAAGTTAAGACGGCAACCACTTTCCAGGATATTTCCGCGAATGGGTCATTGGGTGCATGGGATTATTGCAAGCTGAAACATTCCATTTATAACATTTTTAACTAAATTTTACCATTATCTAAGAAATCGTCACTAACGAAAAAGAAACTACTCCTATAAAATACAAACTTTAAATATTTGATTGAATAACACATCTGTGTTTATTATGGATATTAAATAAATTTATTTTTATCTATCTTTAAAAAATTAAACAATGAACATTCCAAGTACCGGATTATTAAATTAATCTTGTACATATATGTATATCGAACATTTCATAGTAATATTTTTAATAAAAATTGAATTTTCTCGCGCCGTTGGTAGACATCACGCTATCGTTGGCGACGAAATAATTCATCCCAAACCACTTTATACTCAACGAAATAATTCATCCCAAAGGGACACGTTCAAACTTAACTATTTGGGATGGCCCCTTTGATTCCGAAAAAGATTGAAAAGAAAAGTGAGAAAAGTAAAAGATGAAATTGAACTATACATTTTGTCATTCTTCCATCATAAGAAGACGATCATAAGAACGATATAGTTTGAGAAACGCCAATCCAACTTTACTGTGAATTTCGCGGTGAATAAAATGTGGATTCGTTGGTGTAACTAATTCACACTCAAACTACAAATTACTATCTTTTGTTCGGTCACTTGTGACACTTTCTATTGCATGGGGGTCCTTTTGTTATTAATTACCTTACGTTGTTCTCTATTTTTATTTTGTAACACTAGTCAATTATCACAACAGAAATAAATTGTAATATTGTTGAAGTATTTTTCAAACCAATATACTACTACAGTTCTCAAGAACATTGAAATTTCTTGGAAAACTAAAGTTCAAATTTATTTAGTTTAAAGCAAAAGCATAGTAAAACATGTTTGCCGGCATTTTTAGAGTGTAAATGTGCAGTAATGTTGCATGATAAGGCCTTGCAAACCAAAAATTGCCCTTGCTTTGTTCCGTTTTTAGATAGCGGAAGCATTAATTATAATTTTTTTATACTCTTTTTGTTCTGGATGTATGTATGCGAGTTTTATGGAGGTCAAGACTATAATTTGGACTAATCAAATATTAGTCAAATACTCAAATATGCATTATGACTGGATTAATGAATTTTCTAAAATAATATCATTTACCGTCAAAAGTAAGCAATTCTTACAATTTTGACTATGCATAGTGATTTATATTTAATTGAATACCAATTACTATTTGGTAATGACTGAATTATGAAGATCGTGAAGCCGCCTCTTTCCTCTCTTAGATAAATTCAACTTGATTGCATGTCTTTTGTCTTGTTTCGCGAATGGCTTGCTGTGTGCTCCTTTCTATAATAATAATAATAATAATAATAATAATAATAATAATCTTCCCAATTCATCCCATTTAATGTACACCCCCTTTTCAAACATTTTATCATAATTGAACGCAGATATACTTCCGAAAATATGCCATTCTAACCACTAATCTATTTGGATACTCTGGCCATAGAGAAAAAAATTATAGCAATAATTTCTTCCATTTCAAAATTCAGGTCGATTAAGTTTTGGAAAATTATTTTGAAATGTAAATCATTTTACGATTTCAAGATAAATTGCATTCTAAATTTCTAATTTTATCATCAATAAATTATACTAATTCCTTTTCATCTAATTTTGTTTATATTCCAATAAATTTTAGCCAAAGAAAGTATAAACATTTATTTGATATACAAAATATTTATTGATGATTCTATTCTTAGTTTACGTGTAAAATTCAAATAACTTACATTATGAATAGTGCGGATAATTAATTACTCTACTGGTTATAAGGATTCACCCACAATTTAACCGTATTATGATGGCCCTCTTAAAGTGCAAACTAAATAAATCAATAAACCAGATTGAAGATGTAAAAAAACTGTTATAACGATATTTCTAAAAAAAGTAAGAAAACTTTGCCCGATACTAGCCAATCATTTTTTATTTTATGTTTCAAAGAAAAAAAAGTTGAATAACTGACTTTTTTAGTGTTTTTGTTTTTTGGAGAAATAAAAAAACATTTCAGATGGTGCTAGTGAGGAATTTTTTTTTTTTTAAATTGGTACCTGTATTAATTAAGGTTACCTAAACTAGTACATCCCATTTTTGCATAAGCTAAATTGTGTAGATCATGAACTACCGTCCGGTTTACCTTTAACAGTGAACAAATCCGAAAAGTAGACATTAGGATACGTATGTTGGCGATTATCTCCTGAGCTTCACTCGGAAATTTAGAGATTTCCTGATCGATGGTCAAGAGTTCACAGTCTGTGTAGATGTAGAGCTTTTGAATGCCCAGAAATGATGCATCTTGTAATTCCTGTAAGCAAGTAGTAGGTTCTCCTTGGAAAGGTGACAGTGAAGTTATGGAAACTGTCTTGATTTGCATCAGCATCCTGGTAGAAGAGATAATTCGCCAGGCTCCTGCTGCCTTTTTGTTATAAGGATTGAAGGATGCATCAAAAGTAAGTTCTGGCAGTGGATCAATAGTTCTTCTAGTAGGAAGGGGAGGTGAAGTCGAGTCTGTCTGTGACTTCAGTCTGGACAGCAAAACCTTGTGCTGCTTAAGGTCCTGTTGTATTAATCTCCATGAAGTGACAGGATCTATTGTCTGACTTCTTCACACTTTATCGTTTCTGTCTAACCAGATACGCCAGAAGATTAAGAGGAAGAGGTCGATGTCTTCTGAAGATGGTTGAGTTTGAATCCATGAGATAAATCAATCCAGTATGGAGGGCATGGAGCCATTTAAAATTGATTGGAAATTAGGATATGCAAAGCTCCAGACTGCTTGAGAGATTGGACAGTTAAAAAAAAGATGAAGATTGTCCTCCAATCCTGTAAAGCACTTTAGACATAAAGTATCAACCCGTATTCCTCTTCTCACGAGTTCTTGTCTGGATGCTAGTGAGGAGTTAAAGGAGCGGAAACATATGGTGAACAAAGGATTTTAACTGTATGCATGGGTCTTTGAACTAGAGTGATTACTTGCCTTGGTTGACAGTAACAAACATCACTGATTCCATAAGGTTTTTGAATTGGAATAATGTGGATAAGATTTAAAGAAGATTTAGAAGATTTGACGACTGGTGTGACTCATTTCATTGTATAACGCGTCTAACAAATATTTAAAAAGCGAGACTTTGGATCCCGATTCAAAATCAATTGACACTGATTAAAATGAAGAAGAATTGTTATATTTTTTTGCAAACGGTGAGCGTTCGATCAGCGTGCATGCAGCAATTGTGTACTTTCTTGTTTAGTGAAAAATGAACAAGGATTCTTCCAAGATCGGTAAGAGTCTCAGCCGATTCTAGTTGAGACTAATAAATGGACTATTGTTGAAATCACCATTCACGAATAGAGTCATGTAGGGTGAAGGGTTCAATGAAGACAATAAGATTTTGAGGATGAATATATGATGAAATTTTTGTTATCAGAGGTGTCGAATTTCGTTTGATTTGAATCCAAGTAGAGATAGGCCAGCTGCCCACGAAGCCATCAATTCACGAATTATCAAGGAATAACACAGTCGCTATTCTTCAATAAATAGCACAAAAGGACCGATTTGATGGCAATATAGGTATCTTAATGGCTTCCATATATACCAATAAAAACCTCTTCATGGACAAATAGCTGAAGGCTTGGAAATTTTGGCTTTTCTATCTTTTTATTGGATTTTTATGCGTGAGTTTCGGTTAACCATTATTCGGACTAATTAGAAAGATATTGTAGTTGTACGTATCTTACTATTGCATGTTTCTACCACCATTTGCTTGCTGCCATTTTACTGAGAGTTTCCAGTAAATCTCAGCCAATTTTTTTTTTTTTTTGGCAACTTAAAGAATAAAGGATCCATAAAGCTATGATGATTGAGCTTCATCTCCTGTTTTCTCAAACTAAACATCAGTTCATAAAATCCCATCCACCAACCAGAATAGTGAGGCTACAACCTAATCAACCGCTAAAGCTATGAAATCCTTGGAGCTATTCAGGATATATATTCCGTGAAAGTCTATGAGTGATCTAATGAGCTCAACATAAGAGTACTCTTTCCGTCTCAATTAAGAAAACAAAGAAGGAAGAGGGAAAAACTGCAATGTTTTCTGCATTATCAACTGCATAATATTAGCATTACGAATTACACAGCCTCTGAGTACTACAAATACATCCTCAACTGATAGAATATAGAAATAATTGAAACCCTAATTAGGGTTTTCAATGTAGACGGCTAGGGTTTTTACAATATTGTACTATAAATACCACAATATATCATGTGAATAACACACACAATAATTCTTTCATGGTATTATCCTTCTTTCCTGGCCTCTCAATTTTTTTTAGGGTTTCAGCCGTCAGCTTTCTTTTCTTCCTCTCTCTTGCCGGCTTACACTGTTCCTCTCTTGCCGTCCCTTTCCTTCTCCGCCGAACCGTCGAAGCTCCAAATCCCATAGCCAACACACAAAATCACACAATCCCAACATCGAACCCGGCTGGCGGCTCCACTTCCTGATTTCTGTAGGTGTCCGTTTTCTTTAGGCAGGCGGCTGCTCCCTCTCTTTCTGGCCGCTGCTACTGTTTATCTCGTGTTGATTTCGGGCCTCCACACAATCCTCCTCTCTGCCATTCTTCCTCCTTTGCCACCTGCCGCCGACTGCCGTTCTTTATCACAATCCACTGCTCCTTCATAATTTGCCATTCTTTTTGTTTCTCCCTTCTTTTTCTTCCACCGCGAATTGGGATTCCTTTGCCCTTCCCAAGCACAGAACCCTGCTGCAGATTTGCCAACTTTCGGTTTTTTTTGCAGTTTCAGTCCTTTAAGTTTTCAGAAATTCCAAATCAGTCCCAATAGTTTTTTTCTATTCACGAAAATTATCCCTAAAATTTTTTTATTTCTGTAAATCAGTCCAAACAGGTTTGGTTCTTACAAAAAAGAAAAAAACACCAAACACAAATCCCTGCCGCCATGACGAACTCCGCCGTGACCTTTGCTGTCTCACAGCAAACTGATCTTCAATCAACCGAGGCCATGACAACCAATTCTTTTCTGACACCACCTTCTTATTCGGCTATTGTTCTCTCTAACATCAAGAATTATGTGACTCCCGTTCTGGATTTCACAAACTACATGCTATGGAAAGAGCTCTTTCTTCTTGTCTTTCGCGGACATGCCGTGATTGGTCATATCGATGACTCCGATCCTTGTCCTCCATCAACTCTCACTGCCTCTGACGGCACTTCCTCATCCAATCCAAATCCCGCTTTTCGAACTTGGACCCAAATTGACTCCATTGTCCTCTCCTAGATCCAATCCAAGCTACTGTTTCCACCGAAATTTTGCAAGCCATCGTTCAACCTAATTCTTCCCTTACTGCCCGTGATGCGTGGCTCATCATTGAGAAACTCTTCCACGATCAGCTTGGTTCACACATTCTCCAATTGAAATTGGAGTTTCATAGCTTAAAGAAAGGGGAATTAACCATTAATGAGTATGTTACCAAGCTTAAGATGTTGGCCGATTCATTAACAGCCGTCGGTTCTCCCATCTCCGACGATGACTTGGTGCTTCAAATTCTGGCTGGTCTTCCTTCGACCTACCAGTCTGTCTCTACTACCATTAGCCATCACGTTCCTTTACCCAACTTCGTTGAAGCTGGATCAATGCTCTTCCTACATGAAGTGCAACTTCAGCACACTGCTCCTTCTTCCCTCTCCACAGCTACCACCGCTCTGGTCGCGGCATCTTCCACTGAGCTTCCACAGCAGCAGTTCAATACCCCTTCTCAACAGCATCCGTTTTCCAATCATGGCCGTGGCAGGGGTCATGGTTTTCAGAATAATCGGGGACGTGGCCGTGGGCGTGGACACAACCAATTTTTTGGTCAGTATCCCTCCTCGTTTTCTGCACCTTTTAATTCCTATATAGCTCCTATGTTTACTCCCAGGCAACGTGCTCCCTCTCTTCTTGGTTCGGCTCCCTCTTTTCCGTCTAATCCCGCTGTTGTTCGTTGCCAATTGTCCAATCAATTCAATCACTCTGCTCGAGATTGCTATCAATTTCAACAGCCCGCTTACTTTGTGGGTCACAATAATCGGCTTTCTATTCCCTCATCTGCTGATTCGTCCTGGTATATGGACACTGCTTGTGGTAACACTATGACTCCTTCTCAAGGTACTCTCACTAATTCAAAACCTTATACTGGTTCTACTCGAGTCATTATTGGTAATGGTCATTCTTTACCTATTTAATCCGTTGGTCAACTCTCTTGTTCTCAGTTCCGTTTCCCTAATGTTTACCATGTTCCTTCGCTTACAAAAAATCTAATCTCTGGGCGTCAATTTTCATTTGAAAATCAATGCTCTGTTGAGTTTGACCCTTTTGGTTTTCTGTGAAGGATCTTTGGTCGAGAACCCCTCGTCTACGATGCAATAGTACTGGTTCCCTTTATACATTTCCGCCCTTACTGCTCCATCCATCCCTTGCACCGTCTTCTCCGTCTTGTCCGGTGTTTGTTGCTTCCGTCTCTTCTCAATTATGGCATCAATGCCTTGGTCACCCGCATGCCTCTGTTTTGTCCATTTTAGTGTCCAGTCGAAGTCTTCCTGGTTCCGTGATCTCTTCCAATAAACTTAGTCTTTATCAGGCTTGTCAAATTGGGAAGCATCATAAGCTCCCTTTTATGCCTTCTTCTTCGGTTACTTTTCGTGTTTTTGATATTATACATACAGATGTTTTGACCTCTCCGTGTCATTCCTTTAGTGCTTTCAAGTATTTTGTACACTTTCTTGATGATTTCACTCATTATTTATGGGTGTATCCTTTTAAAAATAAATCTGAGGTTTCTCAAAAGTTTGTTGAATTTTATTATCTTGTTCAAACTCAATTCAATGCTTCCATCAAAACTCTTCAATCTGACGGTGCAGCTGAATATGTTCATTCTCATTATCTTCAATCTTTTCTTAAATCTAAGGGGATCACAATGCGTATCTCTTGTTCGTACACTCCTCAACAAAACGGCAAGGCTGAGCGCATGGATAAAATACTAATCAATATGATCCGCACGCTTCTGCTTCAAGCTCACTTACCACATGCATTCTGGGTAGAGGCTTTACATACTAGTGTCTCTCTGTTAAATCGTTTACCTACTAAACCAAAAAATGGGGCCATTCCTTTCTCCCTTCTTTTTGGTCATCCACCTAACTATGGTTCCTTAAGGGTTTTTGGGTGTTCCTGTTTTCCCAATCTTTCTCATTTAGCTTCTCATAAGCTCCATCCTCGTTCCGCTCTATGTGTCTCTCTTGGTTATCCTGAATCTTATAAGGGCTATCGTTGTTTTTTGCAATGACGGATCTTGCTCCAATCAGCTATTTCATTGGTATTTCAGTTGCTCCTCACTCTGGTGGTTGGTTTTTACACCAACACAAGTATGCTGAGGAGTTGCTTGCTCGCAGTCATCTCACTGATGCCAATCCAGTTGCAACTCCACTTGCTCCGGCTTTTCAATTTTCGGTTGCTGAGTCTCCGTCTTTTCACAATCCGACTCTCTATCGGAGCTTGGTGGGTGCATTACAATATCTTACTTTCACCAGACCGGATATTTAGTATGCGGTTAATCTTGTCTGTTAACATATGCATGATCCTTGTGAGCAATACTTTGAGGCGGTCAAACGCATTCTCCGTTACATTAAGGGTACACTTCACTATGGTACACATCTCCGTGCTGGCCCCCTTGATCGCCTTGTTACATATTCAGATGCTGATTGGGCTGGATGCCCTACTACTCGCGGTTCTATGACTGGTTTTTGTGTTTTTCTGGGTTCCCCACTAGTTTCCTGGTCTTCCAAGAAACAATCCACTGTGTCTCGATCTTCTGCTGAGTCTTAGTATCGTGCTGTTGCCTCTGCGTTGGCTGAAACCGTCTGGTTGGAGAATCTTCTGTCTGAACTTCAAATCAAGCTCTCACATTGCCCGGTAATCTTGTGTGACAATGTTTCTGCTACATATCTAGCTTCAAATCCGGTTAATCATGCTCGCACCAAACATATTGGTCTAGACATTCATTTTGTTTGTGAACGTGTTGCTGTTGGTCTTCTTCGGGTCCTTCATATTTCCTCACAATCCCAGCTTGCAGATGCCTTTATCAAACCTTTACCTAAGGATAAATTGTATTTGTTTAGAACCAATCTAGGCATGATTACTTCTCCTGCTACGATTGGGGGGGATGATAGAATATGGAAATAGTCGAAACTCTAATTCGGGTATTCTATGTAAACGGATAGGGTTGTTACAATATTGTACTATAAATACCGCAATGTATCATGTCAATAACACATACAATAATTCTTTCATCAACAACACTTTCCTGTTTCTAGTTTTCCGTTTTGGAAACAACTATGTACTATGCAAAATATAGGCAAATAAGACTTCCCTTGAATGGAAACTTTTATGCAGATTACAAGTAACCCATTCTAGGAATCTAAACACTTTGTAAAATAGAGCTCAGAGATGAAGATAATTGGAAAATGCAAACTACAACGGCGAATCACATCGACTACATCAGTACTTCAACTCACCGTTCAACAACAAGAGTCTTTACTTTTTGAGATCAGAAAGAGGAGAGCTTGTAAATAGCAATTATTCTCAGATGGAAGGATTTGATAGGATTTACTGCAGGGACACTTGAAATGTAGAATCAGAACCTCCCCTTTCCTCTCCACCCAAACAGCTTCCTGATCATGAGTAGCTTCTTCATTTTCACTCCCTTTTTCAGTGGTACCTTGACTGGCTTCACAATCATCCTGTTCAACCACAAAAAATGCAAGAACGAATTCCAATTAAGAAAAGGAAACATCACAGAAATACTAATATGTCAGAAAAAAAAACTTGATTTCTGATAAGGCTACCCAAACACTTGAAATTACAGAAGGAAAGATCAGAGAAATACTGATTCTTCAGAGCCCTTCCACTAAATGGCTAACAGATTAAAGAAAAAAAAAATACATGGATAAAAGAACTGACTTTTTTAAAAGGAAATCATGCTCAAATTACTCATTTACATTTGATGGGCTGTGATTATCATCATTATCAGAGCCAGATGCATCTTCTTCTTCTCCTTCCGTAATGACTTCATCCCACCATTTTCTCATCTCTCTCATTCTATCCTTCATTCTTCTGAAGCTCTGCAACAAATCAGAATTAATTGGGCAGTTAATACAGATTCGACAGCAAAGAAAGGGAAAATCTTTGGTTAATAAATTAGAGAAACTTTAATCGTCAGAATGTTTCAAGAACCAACAACCCACCTTGGCATCAGGGCTTTCTTGAATTCCACGTCCAGCCGGATACATAACTTTTCCAGCTTCCGGAGGCCTTGGGGTGGCGGAAGTTGCAACCGCTTGGGAAGCCGCCGGAATGGGTTCAGAGTATGTACGGTAAAGAGGTTTCTGAGGCTGCTGAGACGGCTGCGTCCGAACGGGCACAGAATTAAGCCCAGAATTCTCCTCCGGCGAGGAATTGGCGATCAAAGAATTGGTCAAAGCACCATCTGAGAATTGATCGTAGAGATTCTTGGTGGGAATTGGAGCAGAAAGGGTCCGACCCAGACGAGTTGATGGAAGTGGGATTTTCGTGAACCCATTTTGGAGGAGTTGGCCGCCGGAGGAACTGGCGGAGGAAGATGGCTGCTGGACGGTGGCGGCCCTTTTGGAAGAACGTTGTTGTTCGGGAGAAAAATCAGAAGGGGATTCTCTCATGTTGGAGATGAATTGATTAGTGAATTCCGCCATGGTGGTTTTCTGGAGTTGATAGAAGAAGTGGAATTGAGTCCGAGCGCGGCGGAAGAAGGCCGCGAATATACTTTAATAGACGAAAATCCAATGAAATCTCAGTATCTTCAACAAGGGAATTAATCTGGATTGGGGTGCACTCTGTTTTCTTGGCCTCTGAAACCGTCTTTAGTAAAGCACGATAGTGGAAAACATACTTGTGAGGAAATCTCATTTGTGCTAAATTTTTTTAGAAAAATGTATTTAGTCTTTTACGTACGGTGATAACTAATATAGCCATATATAGCTCCTCTGCAAATAAGTCCAAAAAATTGGCTTTTCCGCTATCCACAAAAACTAGATTGAGTATTAGTACTCTGATGTGCACGAATCGGTACTGCTTCAACTGATTCAAATTATCTACTCATTCAGTCTCATTGTAATAGAATAATTCGTTGTACTGCCTGTTTATCAAAGTGAATTATACGACGTATAGACTATTTATTGAAATGATACTGGTTGCTAGTTTTTCGAATTATTTGTCGATATCGTATCATTTGAAAAGGAGCCCTAAATACATATAGCTAAGGCTTTTTGTGGTATATCTGTAATCGTTTCAATCTGTGCATGATCCTGGAAGTCATAGTTTATGGGACAAGATGAGAGACAACTAGCCCACCAACTCTTTTTATTGAGAATGAAATATCAAATTGGACAATAATTTTGAAAGGAAGGTACTAAAATTGAAATCTCAATACACAATAATTTTGGGAGGAAAGGAATATTATTTAACATTCGTCTCCTAGAGTCTTGAGCTGAAAATATAAGGGTATTTTCCTTCCTGCCTTTTGGGGCTATTCTTATATTGTTTGATCATGGTGTTTCTTGTCCAATTCATCAAAAAGAGTCTACCGTTTGAAGAAGGCTTAACTTATATTATGAATAGATGGAATTAGAAGGAGTTCACTCTAAAAGGATGGATGCAAACCCTCTTTGTATGAGATAGTTTTTTTATTCCTTAAGCTCTAAACACACCATCCTGACCCCATGCACAACATAATTCATTCTTTTATTACAAGTTTTTTCCTTAAAAAACATTACACTGCCAAACCTTCTCAAGCATCTAATCTTATCCTCATGTTGTTGTAGCTACTACCTAGGTTTGTTTTGAGAATATATATGTTAATTGCTAGTGTTCTCTTATAATTGTGTAACAAATTTCTGTTAAGTGAAATTTTTTTTTTCATTCCATGTCTTTATACCATCAGTTTATCGGGGAAAAAAAAAATGAGCTACCGGATGATCGAAATCTTTGAATTGGACCCGTGTATATAACTCGCCGGCATCTAGCGAACCGAACATCAAGATCTTTGAACATCATGCATGCTCGGGATTGGCATTTTTGGAATAAAAGGCAGTGTCCGGGAAGTAGATAGAAAGATACTATCCTCTTTATCTCAAGACTAGTACTATGCCCACGCGTTGCGTGGTAAGATTTAGTTTTATTGTAATATATTTTAAATAGATATTAAATGTCCATAAAAGGTTTAATATAAACAATTCATAAATATTATTCAAGATATAAATTTATATGAAAAAGCTCAATTACGTTCAAGAGAAATGTGATATTTCTTCGTCAACGTTCATTTCACCGCAAACTATTTTTTCTCAGAAAAAACAATATAGTGCCTACGTCACTACCTTGTTGCATCATAATTATCCGTCCTTCTAATCAAATTCAAAGTTGGGGTTAATTGCGTGTATTACTTCTAACAATCAATTAATCAGGATTCATCTTCTCAATTAGAAGGGGAGTCTTGTTTCTAACTATCCATCATGATTGATTATCTTCTCAATTAGAAGGGAGTATGCAAAACTTTTTTAAGTTTCCAATGCAAGCTAAAGCAGTGGGGGTAAAACTAATAATTATTTTATTTCATTTTTTCTAATTTAGTTTGCTAATTTGATGCCGCTGGTATTTGTTAGGGCCGGTGCATTTGAAGTTTATGGGATTGGATTGATGAAAGGTATTTTATGGTTTAAATTACGGGAATTCGCAAATTGATTAGTCTTTTACTGTAATACACTTGACAATGCTTGAATGGAGTTGAGAGATGAGGACGAATAATTTAGAACTTTACGTTGGTAAATCACTTGATTAATTTAGCCGGGTACATTTAAAAATAAATTAGCCGGTCTTATTCTATTTCATTTTTATCTTTAACATCATGTTACTTTGTGTTATCATGCTTAAAAGATTCCGACTTTGTGTTATCATGCTTAAAAGCCGAGTTTGTGGTACATTAAAAATCTAAAATGTTTTTGTGATGTGAACATCCATAGTAATCAAGTCGAAGATGATGAAGGTGTTCGGGTTCCAAGTACTATTCAAGCTCAAGGAGTGACTCAAGATCCATTATCCAACATTGGAGGTCCAATGACTCAAGCTAAAAGTAAAAAGATCAGGAGCGCACTTAATAATCTTATATCAAATGATTTAGCCCAAGAGAATGTCAAGTCTGGAAGTTACAAGCCCAAGATAATTAATGTGTTACAAGCCCATTTGAGCAAGGATCTTTCGGCCCACAAACCACGCAAGGGGGGTCAGCCCTATCTCCTAATTTTTAGGAGTTGGAATCTCTATCTTTTAGGGATAAAATCATTTAAATCTTATCACACTTGTGGAAGGATAAGATTTGAAAGATTCCATATCTTTTAGAGATAAGATCATTTAAATCTTATCACATGGAAGGATAAGATTTGATATGATTCTCTTTTATCTAATTAGAGTTTATTCAAAATAAGAAGTCTACTCTCAACCGTTGGATGGAGATTAGATCAAGATTGGATAGCTATGATTACTCTACAAAGAAGATATTGATAGAGCTAATAACTCAGGAAAATTCTTTTCAAGATAAGGATAAAATTCTTTTGAGAGAATATCTCTTCGTATTTGGAGTTTTATTTTCAATAGACTAGTGTGTCTTAAGTCTATCAAGGTGTCTAGATACATTGCCTTAATAGATAAGACACAAGTTGTAGGTTAAGTTGATTTCTAGTTCATTAAAGTAGGAATAGAGTTAGAGATCAAACTCTTCTCCTACTTCGTAGGAGAATTTCGGCCCCCTCTACTATAAATAGGGGTGTTTGGCCAGCATTTCATTTGTACCTTTGATGAATTTGATATTTCAATATGAGATGAGAGGAAACTCTTTGTTCTTTTTCTACTCTTTTCGAAGATTAGTGCATTGCACACAAGCTTGTGCTTTGTTGATGCATGCGAGTAATAGGTGTTTTTCTACTTGTGGAGCTTTGTTAGTTGTTCATTGGACCCTTTTCACTAGCCGTTCTATCCATAAATCGAAGGGATAGGGTTGTTAGAGAGGTGACCGATTGGGTTGCTAACCTTAAACACTTTCTACATCTTCTAAACTTTTCCATCCCTTTTTGGTGCAAATTTTTGTGGTTTGCATTTCTTCTTTTCTTTTAATTTTCGTTAATTGTGGCGTCCATAATATTGGATTTGCAAGTTTTCAAGTCCTGGAAAATTCATAGCTTCCGCGTCGAGGTAAATCTGCCACCTTTACCTCAAGATTCGTATCAATTGGCCTCAGAGCCTTGGTTTTTGAAAACTTGCAAGTAGAGCCAAGTTCAAATTGATACATTGTATCAATTGGCCTCAGAGCTTAGGTTCTTGAAGACTTGTTTTTGTTTTGATCTACTAAAGCTCATCTTTGGTTAGATCTCTAATTTTTCTTTGGAATTTTTGAGTCTTTTATTATGGATCTCACTATTTTGCTTCGATTGTATTCTTGTTTGATTTGATTGAAGTTGTTATAGTTAGATCCATTATTGTTAGTAAAAAAAAAAAAAAAAAACCATTTTTTCTCCTAAATTATCAGGTCTAGGGTATCTTTATCCCTAATCCACTTTTTTTTAGTAAAAAAAAAAAAGCCGTGAAAAAAAAAGTAAAAATAAAAAAAAGACGGCATAGAAGGATATTGATATTTGAGTTTGATTTGAAGTGTAATTACTATTATTTGCACATATCTTTTTTTAAATACTTGGATCTTTGGTGGCTAGGGTTTCGCAAATATAAGCCCTTTATTTGTGTATTGGCCGAAATAGGGTTTTGTCTATAACCCTAAGTCGAAACTTTTATTTTTCAGAATTTGCTCCAAGTTCTATTAGCCTTTTTGTGAGATCTAAGTTTTATAATTGTAACTACTTGATCTATATTCGTGTTCTTCCTTAGATCTTGTTACAATTATTTTCAAAACCTTACTTTTTGATCCTCTTTATTTGTTTCAATAAAGTACATCTTATAGCACTATTCTTCATTGCACTAAAGAATTAAAAGACAAATATAGTGGTAAGAAAAGAGTGAATCCATCCCTTACTAAATTCTAAACCTTCTTGAGAGATCTTGGGGAGTAAATAGAATAGTTGGGAGGGGTAACCAGAAAGTGAATTCTTCGATATTCTTTTTCTTGTTCTTGTGTGTGTTGAGTTGTGTTTCAGGAAACATGGGAGACAAAGCTCTACCTCCTCCTCAACATAGAATGCTGAATGATACTGTGCAAGATTTTAAAGATAAGATTGCAGCATTAACAAATCAATTGCAACTTATGACGATGGCAATGGCACAACAACAACGACGACAAGAAGAGACCACTCGCCAACAAGAAGAAACTGCTCGTCAAATAAACCAACTTGCCCAAGTTAGGGATCCATTGGTAAATCCTGGACCTAACCTTGTTGCACGTAGGAACATCTATGGCGGACGTGGCAATGCCGGACGTGGTCAAGGTGGTGGACGTGGTAATGAAGGACAAGATGGTGACCGAGAAGAAGAAGGTCAAGGAGAGCGAGAAGAAATTCCAAGGGAACAAAATGATGATGATGCTGTTGAGCATGAAGAAGAGTTTAGGCATGATCGACAAAGGCAGCCTAGATTTGATGATAACATGAACGCTATCAAGCAGAAG